GAGGGTGGCTGCAGTCCCATCCCTGTCCCCACTCCCCGCTCGCTCCTCGAGCTGGAAGGCAAATATCTTTCCACCCATACACCCCCCGGCAGGGGAACAAGCACCATGCCGGGAGGTCGTGTGGTTTGGCCCCCCCGGGACAAGAAGCCCATCATGCATGGGGATGCACCTGCATGGGGACCGGCGCCTCCGTGGCCCACGTGCCGAAGAAATCCGTCACTCTTGCTCCTTAAAACTGCCTCTTCCAGGAAGCTGCCATGGTTTTGGCAAGCCCAACATAGGCTGGGCGGCCACCACTCACAGCGATGGTGTGGACGTCACTCGGCTGCAGATGGCTGTTGTCTTCAGGACAGTGCCACGAAGAGCGGGATGAGCTCTGCGCAGCCCCTCAGGTCTCGCTGGTGACACGTTTGTGCCCCTAACTTGCCCACGGGGCACGTTTGGCACTGCAATACCAGTCCCTTGCGCTGCACCATCAACACTCCGAGGCTTTCTGTGCCTGGATAATCTGGACCGTTACCTCTCCCTGTGTCTCCAGGTGCAAAAGCCAGCTGTTGTCTGGGGCTTTCGAAGCACATCCAGACAAAACAGGTCTGCTGGGAGCATCCGGTTACGCTGGAGATAGGCTCGGGGTGCTGCACGTGTTTGAAGATTTGGAGGCAGGGTGGCACTATGTAATCTCTTATTAAAGTAAACTTGTGGGATAAAATATGGTGGGATGCCTTGAGGTGATAAGATGTAGAGGTCTACAGAGCCTGTCGTCTTGCAGTAGAAGGGACTGGCAATCCTGCTGGAGCATATTGTGATCCTGATCGATCTTCAGGATTGTTTTAGGTGTATGTTGATTTGTTGCCCCATAAAATATCAATTTGAGTTGCTGTTTTGGGGACACCACCCAAACAGATGCACGGACCGTTATCCCATGCATTAAACTCTACAGAAAAGGTGCAGAAGAAGGACATCACCGGTCCAGTTTAGGAAAGGCCTCCAGGCAGGCAGGGTGACATGTTGTGGAAAACCATCACACCAACATCAGCTTCAGTTTAAATAAAAGACCAAGAAAACAGGCAGGGGCTGCACTTGCCAGATGTGACCCTGCTCGCTGCCTGTGGGCCCTTCTGCATTTCTTCTCCAGTCTCGTCTCTACTTACATATGTAGAGGAAAAGGGAGTTGTTTCACCCCTGTCACCCTAACAGGCCTGGGACCAAAAAATTAAGAAATACTGATGAAAGACTGCCTGTAGCCATGTCTTGAAACTCTTCATGTAGAAGCTGTGCTGCAAATCCATATCAGAGGTTGGTACCAGCTGTGGCTGAGGGTCTTCCCTGGCTTTGGGAAGGGCTCTCCTGCCTGAGGATTTCCCACTTCGGCTGGGGTGCCGTTGGACAAGGAAACACTCTCGTGCAAAGCAAAGCTTGAAGAAGCAGCGGTTTTGGGCGGGTTTGCAGGCAAGCAAAGTCAAACATGTTTCTGTGGTGCCATCACAGTGTTGCGACATTGCCGCCTGCCTCCACGCTTCCCCTGTGTTTGCCTTCGGTTTGTGGCCCCCAACCACAGCTAGTGCAGCTGGCTACGATGGCTGTGTTTGTATTTACAGCTCTTCATGGTCTGTTGGACTTTGCTCCCATCCTCTTCTCTGTAGCTGGATCCAGGCCATCAGCCCGGCTTGTCTTACTGTGGCCAGTCGGTGGGAGGCTGTAGACCATGCCAGGTAAAGCTGGTGGTTGCTCTCTCATAAGGCCAACCGGAAGGAGCGATTCAGTGTCTTTCACATGCTGCAAGCTGGAGGCTATGGCAGCCACCACCCTGTGCAGCAAGACCACGTCTGAGGACCCCTTGGCCAGAAGGACAGTAGAAAGGACCACCAGCAAGCCATGTGCCCCCATCAACCTTCAGGCTGGGCAGGCTTGGAGCTTTCCTTGCTCTCTTGGCAGAGTGGGAACCATGACTGGGACCATCCCATGCTGTAAATGGAACTATAGCTTCTCAAAACAACTTAAAGCCCAAGCCAGATCTGCTGCATTTTGGAAATGACAGCTGAAAAAATGGAATTCACATGGAGTTAAAAAAGCTTTTGGGATCAGAGAAATCAGATCAAGCGTGGTGATGAAAAGTTCTTTTTTGGTGGGCATCAAACCTTCAGAAATCTTATACAAGCAGTCCTCTTGCTTGAAAGCGGGGCATAATTAGTCTGTTACAGGTGCCATGGGGTTATCAATCAGTTTTCTGTACTGAAAAAAATCTCAGTTATACTGAAAAAAACACAGTTTAGTGTTTCTTTGAGATCCCCATCTTCTGGAGTGATGTGATTTACAGGAGCAGCTCAGATTTCTTACCAAGGAAATCCTTACACCCCTACAAAGGGCTCATTTTCCAGTGGATAAACTAGAAGTTTGAATAGTGAATAAGCTCTAAAGCCCCAGAAAACCAAAAGAAAAGCAAAATAAAAGGCAGCAGAGCAGAGCGGGAGGCTGGCGGAAGAGCTTAGGCTGTGCCTGCAGTAGACCACAGGCCACAATTAGGAGAATGGTAGTGAAAGTGCAATTGCTCAGTGTCTCTAATGCCAGAGCTGCTGACACAGCTGAAGGAGCCAAAGGTGGTTGGCACGAGAGACATAAAATTGTGCTCCCAGTGATAAAAATTTCCAAGGAAATGCAAAGTTTGGTGGTTTGTGTTTGGGGAAGGGCTATCAAATAAAAATCTACTGAAACTCTTCTTTCTTTCCAGGCATATCAAATGTGTCATCATTTTCAGCCTTTGCCTGGGACTCATCTTCCTGTCAGGATTCTTCCCTATGAAGAATAAAAATTACTTGTAAGTAAGTGAAGTGAAGCAGAAACAAGGTTGCGTGACTTCATCTGTCCAGGGCAGGAAGGATCTGACCTGTGACACTTGGTTTAACTCTAATGAGGTTTAGGCTAATACTGGAGGGGCAGCAGCCCAAAGTTAGGTCCTAGATCTACATTTGGGCAGGCAAGGAGTCAAATTAACCAAAATGCAGCTCTTGGGGGCAAAATCAGCTGTATGGAAAAAGCGAAGAGGATTGAGCTGATCGAGCCTTTGGGTAAGTAACTGAGGACCTGGAGAAGCAGAAAACTGTCCAACACCTACGCCTGAGGGGTGGGGCTTTGTTTGGGTTGGTGCCTTGCACCAGCTTGCAGATGTGGTATCAGAAGGAGAACCTGCTAGGGTTTGGCTTTGCCAGCTCTCAGAGATGGGGTATGGCACTGGAGAGGCTCTTTTCCCCATGTGTTGCCTTCCTGCAGCATCCTGAAGAGCGACAAGACGCTGCTGATACCTTCCATGCCTTGCCATGCCAGGACTAACGTCATGTTCCTCAAGACCCACAAGACAGCCAGCAGCACCGTCCTGAACATCATGTTCAGGTTCGCAGAGAAGTACAACCTCACCGTTGCCCTCCCAGCTGACCAGCTCGTCCACCTGGGCTACCCAAAGACCTTCCTGGCCCACTTTGTGGAGGACTTTCAAGCCATAGGACAAAACTACAACATTATGTGCAACCACCTGCGGTTTAACCCGTCAGAGGTAAGAAAGAGCCACGACACCTGCGGAGAAACCTGGTTGAACAAGCAGTGCCTCCGGACTAACAGCCTCTCTTCTTCCTCCCCACAAATAGGTGCAAAAGGTGATGGCAGCAAACACCATCTACTTCTCCATCCTGAGGAACCCCATTCCTCTGCTGGAGTCTTCCTACGTCTACTACAAAGACAATGTCCCTGCCTTCAGGATCTCCAAGGACGTCAACGAGTACCTGGCGTCACCCATGAAGTATTACCATCCGAAGGATTACAAGAAAAACATTTATGCCAGGAATATCATGTGGTTTGACTTTGGCTATGATAACAATGCAAAGGACACCGAAAAGTACATCCAGGAGGTCTTGAAGGATATTGAGCAGAACTTCCACCTGATCTTGATAGCAGACTACTTTGATGAGTCCATGATCCTCTTGAAGCATGCTTTGTGCTGGGATCTGGATGACGTGATTTACTTTAAGCTCAATTCCAGAAGCCAGGACACTGTCCAGACCTTGACTCCGGAAAGTGAGGAGCGGATAAAAGTGTGGTGCTCGCTGGACTGGAAGCTCTACCTGCACTTCAACCAGAGCTTCTGGAGGAGAATTGAGGAGATCATAGGATTCGAGGAGCTGGAGAAGGAGGTAAATCACCTGCGAGCGAGACAGAAGGAGCTCATGGAGACGTGTCTCTCGGACCAGGAGGCAGTGGGGAAGGATCACATCAAGAACAAAGCTCTCCTGCCTTTCCAGTCAGGGGCTGCAAATATCCTTGGGTACAACCTCAGACAAGACTTAGACAACAGGACTCTCAGAACCTGCCAGAAAATGGTTATGCCAGAGCTCCAGTACACGTCCTATCTTTATACTCTCCAACACCCGCACAAGAAGAGGAAGCAGTTAGGCTTGCCCTTGCTATGGACCAGTTTCCAGGAGAAGATGCAGCTCCCAACTCCCAACTAGGGCATATGACAACCCACTGCTTTGCATCACCCTGTCACACGGCTGACCCACAGGACTCTTGTGCATGAGGGAGAGGCGTTGGGGTGGGCTTTGTTCAGGGCCACTGAGCTGGTGGTGGGTCCCTTTTTGGGGACCTTGAGCCAAAGGCTCTGCGTTGGCTGGATCCTGCATGATGCCTCCTCCCTGCTCCCAGGTTGGGGGACAGCCCGCTGCTGCTGAGCGCTGGGCAGGCTTTCAGCTGGCTTAGATGTTCCTGCCTTATAATCATTAATCATGGGCTTAACCCTTTTGTTTGCGTTTGACTTTATTTAATAGCCGTCATTACATCCAGGCTGGCCACAGCTCACTGGAGCAAGTCCTGGTTTTTGGTATTTAGGGGAAAAAAGGGGAGGGGAAGGGAAATGAGAGAGACGGAAATGAGGAGGAGGGCATGATGGGGGGATGCAGTGCTCAGAGGAGTAGGAGAGACGTTGGGTCTACTGTCCAGCAGCGTCTGTGCTCAACAACATCTAACCACCATGAGATGCTGGGGCTGCTTTTCGGATGGGAGTCCCAAAGCTGGGCATGCTGGCTGGCAGCCTTTCTCCAGCGGCACATGAACTGTCCCTCTCACGTGTGTCATGAGGTGCAAGGGGCCTCTGCCCCACTTGGGATGGCTTGGCGCTCCCCTGGGAGGGCCTGTTTTGTGGTTTCACCCCTCTCCCTCGGGCAAGGGTCCCCAGTCCCTGGGCATGGACAGTCGCTTGGGCTCAGCATCCCTGAAGCCCTCTATCAGCAGAGGCTTTCTTGGGCCCCTGCTTGCTGTGTTGGCCAAATTCTCCAACACCGCTTAGGAGAGGGGTGGAGGGAGGCATGGCCGCTGCTCGTTTAGGGCATGACCGCATTATTGAAGGAGGTAATTAAACCTGCCTGGGACGTCTTTGCTGATTAGCCAGCTCCCCGCTGCCACCCTGGTGCAGGGAAGGTTCGTCAGAAGGACGGGCAGCGCCAAGCCCAACGGCTTTGGCGCCCCCGCCGTTAATGGTTCCCATCGCCAGACTCGAACGCGCCCGCCATCGCCGATGGTGCAATCTTTCAAAGCTCAGCCAGCGTCCGGTCCCGCTCGCGCCGGCCAGGGCGGCAGCGGGGACCCGGGTGGTGCAACTGGGATGGTGGATCCGGGGTCGCTTGTCCTGCAGCTTCACCTCGGGGGTGAAGCTAAGCCGGGCGGCAGCTCGGCCCGGGAGGCAGGAGGGATGCTGTCGGAGGGGAGCGGGGTGAGAGGCAGAGCTGGGGTTTTCCTCGGCTACGTTTAAGCCCGGCCGGGAGCCAGGGAAGCCAGCTGAGGCAAGGGTTAACCCCTGCGCGGCAACCCGTGCTCCTCCGCAGCCCCACGTGATGTAAAACAGGAGCAGCATGAGATTAAGAGCACTTTCACGGTTTTCTGCTCCAGCGACCCCAGCTAAAATTAACCAGGCTTAGGAGGAATTTGTAACTAGCCGGGGCAGAGGAGACGGCAGCCGCACGTGTTCAGCCCGGGCAACCCCCAGGGCCTTTCCCGGCCACTTCTGCCGCCTGAGCCTGAGCTTTTGCCTCGGAGCTTCTGATCCGTGACTTGCCGTATGAATTTTGTCAAAACTCCCTCAGCTAAGCTGATGCCGGGGATGGAATATAAGCGTAAAAA